ATACACAAGGTCATGGGTTCAATCCCCAGTGCCTCCATTAAATAAATAATAACAATAATAAGTAAACCTAAATACCCCCCCAAAAATATATAGACACTTGGATGTGATTTTTTTTAAGTATAGATTTCAAAAGCAGTGTTTTCTCTTTAATATTAGTTTTTGAAGTGCTAGATGTATTTTGATGTGTTACCTGGACATTTTGGACAAATGAATGTAGCTTATGGATCTGATAACTGTCATTTTCAGTGAAATTTGTGATTATTATTAAGTGATCCTCATTCTCTTGTGTTTTAATCAGTCTTTTTTTGGGTGGCATGGTTATTAGGTTATTTATTTATTTACTTACTTATTTAATGGAAATACTGGGATTGAACCCAGGACCTCATGCATGCTAAGCATGCACTCTACTACTGAGCTATACACTTTCCACTTGTGTTTTAGCACAAGAGTTCCTTAAACTTCTTGTCTTGAGTTAATTCTTTATTATAATAAAAAAGCATATAAGATATTAAAACCCTCTAATTAAGGCTGTGTAAAGCCAGCAGTACTTATTATGACCAGCTCCTGAGCTTTTTCATCTGATCTGTGCTGTCAGTTTCACAAATTTATTTTGGAGTCACAAACAAGACTATCCAAATGGCCAATGTAAAGGATTTCAACTTCATTAGTCAACAGAGAAATACAAATCAAGCCATCATGCAATACCACCAAATAGCTAAAATGGAAAACACAGGAAGTATCAGTTGTTGGCAAGAATATGGGATAACTGATTTGACACAACATTGTAAAATGATTATAAATCAATAAAAAATGTTAAAAAAAAAAGAATATGGGATAACTGGAACTCTCATATTGCTAGCAGGAGCCTTCAATTGGTAAAAAATTACTTTGGAAAATGACTTGGCAGTATTTGCTAAAGCTAGTTCTAAGTATGAAGACCCTAGGACTAGCAATTCCACCCCTTGGTATATAGCAAACAGAAATGTATACATATGCTTTCCAAAAAGAATGTACATGAATGTTCAAAGTGGCCTATTTATATTAGCCAAAAACAGGAAACTACCCATATACATATCAGATGTAGAATAGTTGAATGAATTGTGCATGTGGAGAGTGGATTACCATACCAGCATGAGAATGAATGAGTACAACTTCTTGTAACAAAATGGATGGATCTCACAGGCAAGTTGTCGAACAAAAGAAGTTGGTATCTTGATCTGAGTGTTGGTTACCTGGGTGTATTCACATTGTGAAAAAGTCACCCAGCTGTACACTCCTAGGATTTGTGCATCTTCCTGTATGTAGATTAAATACTTAACTAAAAAAAAAAAGTATGCTAAATGAAATAGGTCTTGATTTTTTTTGTTTTATGAAGATTGGCTTTTAGTATATCTGTTTGTTACTGGCCCCTTATTGAACTCATTGATGGTGTAGTTTTTCAGTTGACTCTCTTGGCAGTATTAGGTAGATGATCTCTTCATCAGAGAACTGGAATGGGTGTTATCTACAGGAGAATAAATTTTTAATGCCAGAAAACACTTAGAATTGATTTTTAAACAGCCCAAATATCTTTAAAGGGAAAAAGTAAGGGCTGCTGCACACAGAGCCCATCTTAGAGGGTCTTCTGTCTCCCTTCCATGGGCCGTAAATCTCTGCAGTGGGGAACCCGGGTAGCACTAGAGCAGACTGGCCTTTGTGTTGACCCTTTTAAGTGAGCAACCTTTCAAATTATATTCATAACGAATTTTGATGCATGCAAATACAAGTTATATAACATAATTCTGTTTGTCCCTCCCCAGCCCCTTCGTTTTGTTTTAGAGTTTTTTTGTTGTTGTTTGTTTGTTTGTTTTTGTTTTTGCAGATCTGTTCACAGATGCTGCTGAAACTGAAAAAATGGCCAGAAGTTTGGAAGATTCTGAAGGAGTTTATTTTGTTCCATCTTTTAGTGGATTGCAGGTATTTTTAAAAAAGAGTTAATGGCAATTACAAACATTTCTCTCTTCATACTCACACCCAAATTTATGTGTCTGCCATTCCTTTATCTGAAATGTGGGCACTGGAAAGAACTAAGGTGAAAGTGGCATTCTAGGGCCGAGAAGCTGTGCTTTGACCTAGCATGAGTTCCATGAGAGGGCAGAGCAAATTCAGTTGGCTTCTTCTGTTCAGAACTCCTCTGTGGAAACTAAAAGTTGGCAGGTTTATTATAAAACTTTTACATAAGACCCATGGTTTCTTTATCATAACCAAAAATAGCCATTTCCCACTGGGGGAAAATACATTAGCAAATTGACATTCTTTGCTTACAGGAGGTATACCATTGAAAATTAGAAAAATAACATTAAGGTATATACACACATATGTTTATGTGTGTATTTTGCAGTTATTTGTAGATTTCATTAACTTTTTAAAAAAAAATCAGAATTTCTTTGTTTAACTGTTGTGGTGTGGAATATTGGTTACTTTGCCTAACTAAAAAGTGAACCCTGTCGGGGAGGGTGTACCTCAGCGGTAGAGTGCATGCTTAGCAGGCACAAGGTCCTGGCTCAGTCCCCAGTACATTCACTAAAAATAAAATAAAATAAAAAATTAATTAAAAAATACATAAAGAAACCTAATTACCTATTCCCCCAAAACAAAACTAAAAAGTGAACCCGGTCTTATAATAACCCTTAATTACAAAGAATATAAAAACAAATATATGTGTATATATATATATATATATATATATATATATATATATATATATATATGCATGGCTGGGACATATGCTGTACACTAGAAATTGACACATTGTAACTGACTATACTTCAATTAAAAAAAATTAACTGGTTTTGGAAAAACGCTCAGATTGAGCAATAAATTGAAAAAAAAAGTGAACCCAATAAAAGATTTGATTTTGTAATATTTAACTTTGTATTTAATTGAAAAATCTTTAATACTGCCTTCAGTTTTAGCATATTGTTATGAAGACTCTTAAAATCTGTTTTCAGTAAATCAGCTATATTTCAATTTAAGTTAAAAAAAATAAAAAATAAAATCTGTTTTTAGGTATATTATTATGAAGAGAATCCCCCCCTTTTTGGAATTAGTTCTTTTAATTTTCCTCCAAGTTTTTTTCTTTTGAAAAATAAAAATTTATCTTCTGTCTAGTCTATTCCATACTCAGGAAATCAGTTACAACAAATTCAAAATTTGAAAGTTTGGGTAATAGGATGTAGAACCCAGTGAAAAAGAATTAGATCAGGTGTTTTAAATCTCTAAAAATACCAGATTTTCAGTTTAGGCTTTAAAATGAGTGTTCTTTTAATACCTGTAATAATCTCCTTCTATGTACTTTATTCTAAGGACTAAAAGTTTATAAACTACATATAGAGATTGCATTGCATCCTCTTCAGGGTGACATGAGGCAACTAAATAGCACCCATGATAAGACAAGGAGAAAAGAATATTTGTCTGATTGAGGTTTAAGGACGAAGGTTAGGTGAATAGTTGTCATCAGCAAAGGTAGAGTTTAATTAGGTTCCTATAGATTCTTCTTTTTATGAAAACTGTGCTGGGGGACCTAGTAGTGACTTTATCTTGGCAACTCTGCTTTTAACTTCTCCACCGACTCATATGCCTGTAAAAATAATATAAAATATCTGATTAAGGAACCCAAAGTATTGCTAAAGTCCAAAAATTAGACAGGACTATCACAAATGTGGTTTTTAATGCCGTGTTGATAACGAAATGTCCCTGTCCTGCCATGATTGCACCCTGGCAGTATGTTGAGGTTGGGTGGGGTGGTGGAGGACCGCAGGCCCATCATTTCCTGGTGTGAAATGAAACTCTTAACTGGAAACTGAAAGTGAACTCAAACAACAATAGTGTGTTGATACTAAGCTGTTTGGAAAACAGTGGGGAGGATCACCTATGAGCGGCCAATGTCAACAACTAGAGAGCGTGCAGGCTAGGAGAATGGCAGGAAGGAAGGATCGAACATCAGTGACACTGCCTTTCATGTTAGAACCTTGTTACAGCCATGGCTCATGGCGGGCAGGATGCCTCAGGCTCCTAACAGCCTATTTCTCAAGGGCATCAGCTGAGGAAGGGGCATGGGAGGAACTTTGAGGAGAGGGGGAATGCGGGGACAGCGACTGCAGGGAATGGCAGAGGGCTGGTCTGGAGCATGGGAGCAGTACACGGGACTGCATCAGTTAGTGCAGCCGTTGTGGCTTTGTCTGGCAGGGCGGGTGGATTGGGAAGGGGATACTAGCGAAGAGCATCCGTGACAGGTATCGGAAGCAGGAATCAGCGATCGTTCACCTGACGTTAAAGTTTCTGTGATGACGGCCCTAGTAGGAGGGACAGGACAGGCAGCCAAGTGCCAGTCTTCAGAGCTTGAGGAGTCATGCTCCAATGAGGGTTCTTGGGTTTGCAAGGAACAGGCTTGCTTAAGCCATTCCTGAGAGGAGCTGGCTGTTTACATCCTCCTGAGCGCCCAGGATGGAAAGGAATCGGCAACTGACTGTATGGTTCTGTGTTCCTGTTTGTGGTTTCTGCTTCTCTGTGGGTGTGCTTTCCTCTTCTCCTTACCAGCTTTGCTCTGTGTCCTTTCGTCCTCATAATTTCGAATCGTCATGATTTTCCTTAACCTTCCTCCTTGTCACAATTTGGAAGTTAAGCACAGACTTCTTCCACCTTGTGCGTCCTTTTAGCACGGGTGCCCTCTGAGGTCTTTCCTGGTTCAGATTTCCAGGGGAGGGAATCTGATTGGACCACCTTGTCTTTTCAAGCTTTGAATAGCCTTTGAGTCAGCTGTGCTCACCCCTCCTTATGGTTGAGATGGTGGCAGTGAGACTAGAGCATGAAACGGGGCTACTTTAGACAAGGATTGAAGCAGTTTCCTGAGAACCCCTTCCTCCTTGGCCAGCAAATACTGTGACCTCCTCCTCTAGCTCTGTGGGACGTCTGCACCGTGGAAGGGCAAAGGGAGATAAAGCACGATGTGGATGTGGACTGACATGTCTGCTGACAGTAGATGCATAGTGACAACTTGTGGTCAGGGAAGGCTTGCACGGTGTCCTTCTGGTCCTTGTGGTATGGAAGCCTGGGGACCCTCCACTGAATAGCGACAGCTGAAGTCATTTGCCCAGCACAGAGCTAAGTTTGTTATAGCAACTAACCACAAAATAAGTGGAGAGACTGTCTCAGGGTGGTTTGAGGGTTAGGGGAGTTTATTTACAATAGAAGGAAATGTTCAGCAGGCATAGTGAAAGCATTATGAAGACAGTGAGTAGTAGTGGGAAGGGTTTGGGTGAAAAATAACAGTAAAATAAAAATTGGAGTGGCAGATAACCTGTGAATATGGACTAATGTCTCAGGCACTGTCCTAAATTCTTTACAAATGCGTTGTCTCATTCAGTCTTCTGTAACCCAACAAAAGTAGAAGGTAACTCTTTTCATCCCATTGTGAAGCTGAAGAAACTGAGCTTTGGAGCTGTTATATCACTTGCCCTGTGTCACACAGATAGTGAGCAGCAGGGCTGGACTCTGGAGTCCAGATCCTTATCCACTCTGCTGTACTCTTTCATGGTATAGCATAAAATATTCTGATGACAGGGATACACAGTTGGAGCCAGAGGAACTTACGTTTAGGGTCTAGGTTGACAAGGACAAGAGGCACGGTGGCATTAATCATCCTGCAGGTCCCCAGTAGATTAGGGTGAGATTCCAGTGGGGACCAGGGCCGGGGGAGCAGGTAGTCTGTGCCCTGGGCCAGAGTCTGCTGGTTCTGCTCAAGGTGCCAGACAGAACTTTGCTGAGTCCTGCTGTTCCTAGCTGGTTGATGGTTCTGGGAAGGTCACTTGGTGGGGTTGGCAGTGACAGATTGGAGGTGTGGCTGCAGGCTGTCTGCCCTGGCAAGTTGTGACCAGGCCCTTAAAGGGATCTTACCAGTGTTTTTCCTACCTTATCACCCCTGAGACTGCCTTGGGCTAACAAATGCAGGGACATTGTACCCTATAAAGAAATTTGTAGGTTTCTTCCATGGAATTTATCACCAACTCAAATTGGCCTGTTACTGTTGGTAAACTATGTTCATAGCTATTTGTACAAAAGTGACTTCAGTTCAATTATAACAGGATTTTATGTGGTATAAGTCATTTTTATGCATTAAAACAAATTATAGCACATTGCTGGGGACTAATTGAACTGGCTTAGCCTGACCCATCTTTGTTTTACAGTGTTTTACACTTGGAATACCATTTGGTATGTTTACTGTCTAAATCAGTTTTTCCTAAGTGAGTCACCAAAAGGTGTTCATAAATTTGAAAAATTACCAAGATATAATCACAATGGGAGGAAAATCATGGCTACTGTAAAGATAAGATATAATGGAGAAGTTCTTCAGTTAAGACATTAGGGAAAGTATTGTTTGTTCATGGATTCACCAAATGTGTGTTGCTCCCCTGTGAGGGGCCAAGTACAGCACTAGGCCCTGGAGACACACTGTAACCCGTCAGATGAGTTTCCACCAGCTATGCTAACAGCGCAGCAGGGAAAATAGAGTTTCAACAAACGATCACACAAATATATGTGATTATAAACTGGGGCATATGACATGATGGGAAGTTACAGGTTCCCAAAAATGTATAATGGCGGACTTTATCTAGACTATGGGGTTTGGAGTTTTCCCAGAGGAAGCTAAGGCAAGATTTGGGAGGGGAGTGGGGTTAACTAGGAGGAAGCGTGGTAGAAAGTTTTGCACCTGAGGAGATGACGTGTCACAGCCCTGAAGCTCAAAGGTACTTTTCCTGGGGACCATCATTTCCCAACAGCACTAGCATGTCCCTCTGCCATGACCTTACGTGAGTGTGTTGGAATCATTCTGTGTTTCCTTGTGAGACAGCAGGCTCTGGCAGAGATCTTTGTGTCTCATCTCCATGTCCCAGAATTGTTTTGCATTTCCAGGGATGCAAAGATGAATACAGACTTCATCTGACGAACACATAATTCCAGCTCAAGATTATGGCCTTTTAAAAGCAGATGTTAGACGGGTTCGCCTCTGATACTAGGCAGTAAGACTAAAGAGAAGAGAGAATAGAATAAGAGAAATGGGGCAGGGGGAATAGCTCAGTGGTAGAGCACATGCTTAGCATGCAAGAGGTCCTGGGTTCCAGTACCTCTGTTAAATAAATAAGTCAATAAATAAATCTAATAATCTCCCCACCTCCCCAAAAAGAATAAGAGAAATAGAAGAGTTTAGTTTGAGAGTCTGTCACAATATTGGGTGTAAGTTATGACACTGAGAAACACCTTTTTTACATTATAGTTTTATCTAAGTTTAACTTACATCCTCAGAAAACCGCTCTACGTAGGAAATAATTTCAGTATAAATGCTTAACCATTGGAGAAAGGAGGAAATACTAGCATTACTTTTCATTTTCCTCATATATAAAAGCGAGGCATTTCATGATTTGTTGCTCTGGGCTTCACTCCCTTTTCTTGGCATGGGCACAAACAAAAGATCCAGCTCAGTCCAATAACTGTGACTCAGCCTTGCTTGAGTTCTGTCGAAAAGTTACTCTAATAATTAATGTCATCTGGGGGCTGTCATTTATGATAAAACTACATATATCTAAATAAGCTTTTTTTTTCTAACATGGCTTTGTGGTTTTTAAAATTTATTTTATTATTAATTGGTGGGGCTAAGTAAATTAGGTTTTTAACTGGTTATTAATTAATTAATTAATTTTAATGGAGATACTAGGGATTGAACCCAGGACTGTGTGCATGCTAAGCACACACTCTATCACTGAGCTATACCCTCCCCCCGTTTTTATTGTATAATATGTCTTCAAGTCTGTGGACATAATTTAGAACAGTAATAACATATTCTTACTCTCTCACTTTAGGCTCCATTAAATGACCCGTGTGCATGTGCCTCTTTCATGGGTTTGAAGCCTTCTACCACTAAATACCATCTTGTACGAGCAATATTGGAGTCAATAGCTTTCAGGTACCAGAACCTGCCCTTAAACTGCCCCCTTCCCATATATTACTGCAGTTTCTTTTTATTAATTTCTATTAAACTAAATTAAGTTTCTTAATTTTAACTATTAATATCTTTAGTTTGAATCACACTGTATATGGGATAATCTGTTCTTATTGCCAACTTCGTTACCATCTCTTTTTTTCATATTTAATCTTTTAAATCTGAAAAATAGAATGATTTTAAAGATATCCAATTTCTTAAGCATAGAAGATTCAAAATTTGAACTTCCAAAGGTTTTTATATCATTATTCATGAAGGAGAATTCTAACTGTTAATGCTTCTGTTATACTCAAAGATTGACTCATCAAAATTATTCTTTATGTATATTTCCTGTAGTCTGGTTATTATGGGGCAGGTGTAGCTTATTAAAGTTAAGAAGGCGGCTCTCATGAATGGAGCAAATGGAACAGTTGTAATGTTTAAAATAATATTTTCTCTGATTACAAAATCATTATTTCTATATTTGATGATTTCTGTTACATGCTATTTATGGTATGTCATATTAATAGCTACCTATTAAATGGATGCTTGCTTTAAATTTTCATTTGCAGGAATGGTAATAAATTACATTTAGTGTTAATATAACAGTTATGTTCTCTGATAGCCAGGTGAAAAGCAGGAGGCCTTGAGCCTCTTGTTTATTTGAGCATCTGTTATTGACTTTCAGTTAGCAAAAAATATTTCATTAATATTTTCTTTGGCATATTTTTATAAATATCATGTAAATAAAACCACAGTTTTTATTATTCAAATTGGAGAGAACTATCATGGTTTGAATTGCCTCTAAATATCTTGTTTTTTTTTTTTTTAACTAGAAACAAACAATTATTTGAGGTGATGCAGAAAGAGATCCATGTTCCTGTAAGAAAAATACGGTATGTGAATTTTGTTTCTAATAGAGTTAATTAGAAAGTAGAATTAAGTGGCAGCTGCTCCTAGCATTTTCAGCATTATCATTATTCAGGATTTCAAAAAGAACTTACGCTTACGTCCTCTGCAGCAAAATACTTGGTCATAGGAATTTGGAGAGGAAGGAAAGCTAATTTTAGATTTATGGAAAATAAAGCACAGTGTGGAATTTGGGAGGGTCTTAACACCCTACATGTACTAGAAGAATCTTTAATATCTCTTTTTTTGGGTGTGTGGCTATCCTTTTAGCATGGAAGCATCAAATTTTCTTTGCTGGAATGTCCACATGAATTCTTATGTTAGCTTAGTTCACATGGCCTATTTTGAACTAGTCCCAGGACAAGCAGGGTAGGTGGGAAAATTGATGGCAGGAATAAGGAAAAATGTTTAAAGATTACCTAGTAAGGTCCTCTATCTTCAGATCAATGCTCAGTGATATAATTTTGAAATTAAAAAGTTAAACTTCTTGGGGAGGGTATAGCTCAAGTGGTAGAGTGCATGCTTAGCATGTACAAAGTCCTGGGTTCAATCCGTAGCACCTCCCCAAAAAACAAATCAATAAATAAGTTAACATAATTGCCTCTCCCCCCAAATAAAAAATTTTAAATAAATAACTTAATTAATTTAAAAAAGTTAAACTTTAAAAATAAAATCAAGGATCTAAAAAAGATTGTGTGGCTCTTTTAAAAAGAATAATGTTTTCATGCTTTTGTTGCAGTAATTTATCTCAAATGCCTTGCTCCCCACAGGGCAGATGGAGGCGTTTGTAAGAACAGTTTTGTCATGCAGATGACTTCGGACCTGATTAATGAGCCGATAGACAGACCGGTCCACGTTGATATGTCGTGCGTAGGTGCAGCTTCTCTAGCGGGCCTTGCTGTTGGTATGTGTGGATTTTACAAGAACAAGAGCAGTCTTGCAGACTGTCTCTTACAGATGGCATTTCACCTCCCAAATCACAAAAATATGGAGAGTGTCTGGAAAGCTTTGGAGGCCATTACACTCTATACACATAAGCACATCACTCACAGAATACTCTTGTGACCTCCTCTGTGGGCGGGACATGTTGCCTCTCTTCCATCCTTACTGCACTCCTTCAGTCAGAAGTATGAGGCCAGGAAAATTCATTCTCAGCTGCTCTGGTCTTTGGCAAGGGAATGTCTCTGGGTAAGCTGTCTGATTAGATAAGCTGGTCTTTGGTATGAGAAACCACTCCATTCTTTTATTTATTGAACATTTATTTGTTGAGCACTTGCTTTATTCCCAGTCAATGCTGGGAATAAAGAGTTTACATGCCATAATCACTAGCGACTTGCTGCGTTGCCCTGCCGTGAGAGTCTCCAGTGGGAGCAATCAGACAAGTCAACCCATCATTATACTCATGTGATAAACCCAGCGAACAGCCGTAGTATTAAGCAACTAGTAGTGTGAGCTTTCCCAGAGGAGACAACATGTCATTCAGTTTTGAAGAGGCTAGCAGACAACCAGATGACGAAAGGATAGAGGTGAGTGGTCCACTAGAGAGGGCAGCTCGTGCAAAGGTACTGCCCAGTTACAGTGCTGGTAGGATGAGAGCAAGACTTGAGGCTGGAGAAGTACATGAAGGTGTGGTTGTGCTGGCCTGGTAAAGAGGAGTTTGGACTTGATCTTGAATGCATCGGAAAGCTACAGAAGAATTTTAAGCCGGAGAGGGACATGAATAGATCTACATTGGAACAGATCACTTTGGCCATTAGTGACAGGATTAGTTGGGAGGGGATGTGATGTGGGGAGGCCAGTTAGAGGGCTCTGTAGGAAGCAAGATGGCACTTGGGACACTGGGACTATTTTCACGTGTTCCTCTGTGGAAGGGAGGAGTGTTTGTACAAAACAGGATATTTTACCCTTGAAAGTTTAGGCTAATATTTAGCAATGAAAGTTACAGATCCAAAAAGCACAAAATCTTGATAAGTTCAACTTTATTCTACTAAAAATCTGTTAACTTTGAATAAAATTGAAACAGTCACTCTCATTTATTCATTGATGTTTGATTAATTCAAGTTGAAGAAAATAACTTTCCCTTAAATAATCATTCCCATTTACAAATTTAAATCCCTTTGTGCGTGTCAACTCTTTTAATATAGTTGATTTATTTTTAATAATTTCACTTGTCTGAGCCAACTCAGAACTATAACAGCGAAAGATATTCTCAAGTACTTAGACAACTCTTGAAGAATGAATAAATTAAGCTTATAATTACAGTAAGTCAAATGCTCATAAGCATTCTAATATTATTTATAAGTTTATTCAAATTCTATTTACACTTATCACCTTATAAGACTAAATACGTCAATTCTCTTGGACATTTAAAATACTTTAACAAACACATGCAGATTATTCTTACACATAACGCAGTGGCTTAGTTGTATCTCCTTCATTCTGTCTATATTTAACTTCAAAACTTTTCAATACAAAGGTACTTCACTGACCACAGGGAGCAGTTTTACCTTCTCAGAACAATCTGAAGTTTCTGGTTAGATTACTTCTCTCTCAGAAATTTGAGATCTGAAGGCTGTGCAAATCCTCTGTATTTTCAAAATTCATCCAGAAACTGGGCCTATTCAATACAAACTTAATAAAATGACTTTTAAAAGTATGTAAATAATAAATTCTGAAAAATAAGAATTTTGAGAATGTATTTTCACGAGTAGATTTATCTAAGTATAGTATACTAATAAAAACTATTTTTAATCTTTTAATAACGTCTATAAATTAATTAATATCTTTAAATATAGACAGTCTAAAATGCTGATTTTGTAAAAAGGAAAAAAGTGACCTGTCAGAAAATATTAAAAGAAAGAATTTTATATGTCAGCCTTATTGGTAAGATAAAATGTACATCTTGAACACTTGTCAATAGGTTAATACTTGACTAGATGAGGTGTTTGTACCAAGTTTATTAACAAGACATTGCTAGCATTTCAGACCACGTATGATCTTCGTTATAAATGTGTTTTCTTGCTATTTTTTTTATTATAAATCACATGATCCTCTTTGTAAAAAACAATATATGCCAGAACTACAATTTTATCTTGAACTGGAATTTAAAAGCCTTGTATGAAATGCATAGTTTGAAAAAGAAACTATTTCTTGTATTAATTCCCAACTTGGAGTGTTATACATATCCTACGGAGCTGCTGCTTACCTCAGAATATATGACAAGAAGTTTAATTTATCTTTGGTGTTTTTAAGTTGTATAAAAAGAAAATACACCATTTCTTACTTGGATTTTTTGTTGTTGTCCTCAGTAGCAAGTCATGAAATGAAATGACAGGGTGTGGTTGCTCTAGAAGTGATTTGAGACCCTTCCACACAGAAATAAAGCTGATAGTTAGAAACCAAAAGATTTTTAAATCCTGGTGTATTTATTCCTGAGGAGTAATAAATCTAACAAAATTCAGAAGCAACAAAATATCCCGGATTGCATTCTGCAGGAATAACTGTTTCCCTTTGCACTCGTTTGCGTAGCTTTGTGAATATACTTGATGGACTCATAATTTGCCTTAAAAACTTGAGAGTAAATTTTTTCATCTGTAGGGTTTTGGACTGACAAGGAGGAACTAAAGAAACTGAGGCAAAGTGAAATGGTTTTCAAGCCACAGAAGAAATGGCAAGACTATGAAATGAGCATGGGCAGCTGGGTCAAAGCAGTGAGACGCTCCATGAACTGGTACCACAAGTTATAGCACTGCCGGGATGGCGGGAACGGCCGACGGCTGGTGGCTGGGGCGTGCGATGAGACGAAGCTCCAGAATAATGGTACAACGAGGCCTGAGAAGAAATTTAGACTGAGCTTTGCCACCCCGGAGAAAAAGCACTGCTTTTTTTTGAGGCGGGGGGAACCCCTCATTTCAAAAAATCTAAACCTTGGTAAGATTGTAAGGCCACAATACCTCAGAACTTTTTAATCTCCTGTTTTGTAGCAAAATTCCAAAGGACATTAGCCATTTCCAAGCATGTTTTGACAGTCACGGCTCCTCCTCCTTTTTATACTGGGCCAATATGAACATATTTCTTTGCTATCTGAGTTAACAGTTCTGGGTCAAGCACCATTTGTGTTTTGTTCCAGAATTATGTGAAAGTGTTCCCTAATTCTTTAAAATTAAGTGAGCTATTTGAAGTCTATATAGCTAAAAAGAAAGAATAACTGAGGACATGTGGGATTTTGAAACATTAATGCCCTAATTTTTTGAACACTTAAAGCCATGATTGTTCGATTTTATATCCAAGTATGAGCTCCGTATGTCTTTCTCAGGCTTATTTGGTGATCCGTTCTTTCCTTGATTGGGCTTAAGAGATAACTGCCTTAATTTTTCCTTATTTAACCAAAAATTGGAGCTTCCTTTAATACTGAAAAAATAGTTTTAGTTAATAAAACTCAAAAGGATATTGATTCATAAGGAACAAGAAAAGGCTAGACTTTACTTCTTAAATAGCATTTCTTTCAAAAACTGGCTAAAGTATTAACATCCCATTTTTTACAACGTGCAGGTAGTAAATATAAATCTTGCCTTTCTTCCCCTGTTCTCCCTCTTATTTGTTGAGATGCTAACACAAACATCTTTTGTTTTTATCAAGTGCCTAACTGACAGAGCTTAATTTAACAAAAGTGACCTAATTCACTGGTGACTGAAGAATCGCCTTCGTTGGGGTATTTTACCTACCCAGGTATTTTTTTCATTTTTGGTCCACTCTACTCATCTCTCTGAGATTTGTGCAAGGGAGTAGCTGCCAGAGGTGATGGGAGTGTGTTCATGCTAGTGACTGCCCCTTGGCCACCGAGCCAGACATCCATGGAGAGGAGCAGGGAAGATTCTACACGTGCAGATTCTCTTGCTGGAAACAAGGTAGGAGGTGTAAGAGCTGGGTGTGGCATCAGGCTGGGTAACATTTTCTAAGGCAAGTTGACCACCTTCCAACCTGTTCTCATGTTATTCGCCCCTCCATACTTGTGAGCTAGATTCACTTTAGATTTGCAGCAATAATGTATTTATTTCTCTCTGGGTCAGGCTTATCACGTAAAGTCCTACTGTTAAAGAGCTAGCTGTTAAGTAATAATGTAATTAAAGAGGTGACTGTTGTAGGGAATTTTGCTGTTGCCATGGTATATACCCATTTCAGACAGATAATAGATATTAAGATTTGGAAATATTTTTGTTAAGTGCAGGTGTTTTGTTTAATAAGTCAGATCCCCTTATGTAGATAATATCTATTCTTGTTTTCATTCTTTCTGCTTTCCACGTTGTTTACAAAGCTTAGTGGCCAATTAAAAGCTTTCTTCTCAAACTCATATGAAAGCCACTTCGTTTTACTATTTCTTATAGATTCTGCTTCTCAGTGGGTATGACTTCCATAGGAAATAACTGTCTTTTTGTATTGGGATATGCTCAATTGTAACGTTATTAATACTTGAAAGTTTGTTGGTTCATTTATTTTCTGCATTCTTCTTTCTACTCATAAAACCACAAAATAAAGGAAAAAAAGCCTTTAGATAATGTGGGAAAATACCTTTGAATGTCTTTCACTGGAATTGAGCATCTTCTCAAAAATCAGTGGCAAATTTTTTTTCTTCTGTTGCCCTAGAAATTAATGTCTATTTTTAATATTTCTGGACTTTTTTTTTAAGTAACACAGTTTATTAAGTCCTTTGTCAGATTTTACCTAAATCAGAAATGTGTCCGCTTTTGCTTTTGTGGTTGTAGAAACTGTTCGTTATCAAAATCAATTGAGAAAAAAATCATCCTATCTTTCAGTTTTTTTTTCATGTGTATGCTAATAATTCAAGTTAAAAAAAATTCTATGCTAACATTTCTCAGCATGTTTTATTTTGTCACTATGGATCTATCAGAGTTTTTAAGAGGTCTGTAGCTATCTTATCAAGGTGAGGAATCTTTCTGTACAATCCTTAGAGTGGTACTAATTGCTTTTATACTGTAAACTTACTGATTTTTAAATTTTTGTATATCCAGCCATGACATGGTTTCTCAACCTCTGCATCATTGACAACTGAGGCTAGAGAATTCTTTGTTTTGGGGTGCTGTGCATTATAGGATGTTTAGCAGATCCCTGACCTCTACCTGCTAGCTGCTGCTGGTAGCATTCCTCTCCTTATGGTGGTTCAGAATGTCTCCAAACACTGTCAGATGTCCCCATGGGAGACAGTGGCCCCAGATGAGAACCACTGATGTAGTCTGTTGGAAGAAAATTGAAGACTCAATGAATGTAGACTGTCTATCATACTCCTTTTCTCTCTGCCTAGGAAATGGTTGTTCGCAGAAAAGAAGTGGTAGTCTCTTAAGATAAATAGAGCTTCTACTTTGCTGGTTAATGAGGTAAAGAAAAAAAAAATCTCATGTTGTCATTGTCTTCTGCTGTTTTTATCCACCCACCCCCACCCCCAGGTCTGTATCCTCTGCAGCCTTAATGAGTGAGTTTATGATTTCAGTATAGAATTAGTGTAGTCTGCAGATCATCTTTGATTTGATCTGCCTTCTTGTTTCTGTCCCATCTCTGAACAAAGGAGATGATCACTCCTTTTATCTGCCTCTGTCCAAGCCTCCACCAAACTAGAAGTTTCCTGAAAGCAGAAACTGTGTCTACTTCTGCAGAACTTGACTCTGTGCCTTCATATTTGTAGCATGAATTTTTACTTTGTGTTTATAAGTGCAACTTTCTTTTTGCATATACTTTTTGTCTTTGATCTTACATATTGATGTTACATACATTTTTGGATAGGGAGCAGCTTACACTTGTTGCAAAATATGTTTTGTTGGATTAAGAAGGACTACTTTGCTATGAGAACTGTAAGCCTAATACTTTTTTATTTTAAAATTCTTCATATGTTTGTATACTTGTATCTGTATTTGTGTGGAGACACACATAGTTATATTAACTTTTAAGGTACAACTGGCGCCTTTCCATTCACAGATTTCGTGTACTTGACTGCATGTGACTAACAGACTGACTCTTAAGAATTCCAAAGACTCTGGTATTAGAGGGAAGATACTTCAGAAATGGCCCCTTCTGCAAGGCACTCCTGCTGACGAGTAGTCTTTAATTAAAAATAATCTAGCTCAGGAGTTTGGCAATCATTTTAAAATTCTTTGAGGGGAGACATAGCTGGAGTTCCTCAACTTTAAGCGGTTCCAGATCATCCCAGAGATAAGCCTAGAAGGCTTGAATCTACCCCAGAGGATTCTTATTTCCTCTGGGAAATTTATAGCATGGTTCTCAATTAGAATTAAAATCCCAAACACACCCTGGAACTATCCGGTCCCAGAGTTATCATCTTGGATACCCAAAGCCAGGTTGTCTGGTTAAAACCAGTCTAAATGGGTAACCCCAAAGAAGTTAAAGAGGCTTCAGGAATCACATTGGTTTCTTAAGTTTTGGGTCCTCAGAGCTGTAACTGTTTTGGCACCAGCATCTATTCTCAGTCACTGGCTATTTAGTCACCACATTTCCAGGGGACCTTTGTCCCTAGAGGGATGCACAAATGAGCTTGGGAATGGCGGTGTTAGAGGCAGGAACCTGCAGAATGAGATGTTTCTGAAATTCTCTGTCACTTGATTTCCACTGTCCGCCCCTCCCCCACTTTACATTACACTTGGTTTATTAAAATAAAATGGCTATGTCTGTACAGATATCTATTTTGTTTAGAAAATAAATAAGGTTTCAAATTTAAATGAGCCATATCTTTACAAGAAGCTGCCAAGCAGTTCTCCAGAGGAACTGCACCATGTAACATTCCCACCAGCAGTGCGAAAGAATGATCCAGTTTCTCCACATTCTCACCAGCGTTAGATGTTGTCAGACAGCATTTTTCACTTGAGCCACTGAGATAAGTGTGTGGTTTTTCTCGTCGTGGATTGAATTTGCATTTCCCTAATTAATAATGATGTTGAACATCTTTTTGTGTGGTCTTTTGCCATCTGTTTATACTTTTCAGTGAAAAGTCCGTATCTTTTGTGCAATTGCTAATTGGGTTGTTTGCTAGATGAGTCGTACCTTTTCTAAGTAATATCTTTTTTAAAAAGTTAAAAAAAATCAGCCCAGTGACTTAAGAAGTCATTAAGTAGCATTTTCAAATCTTTGTGGGCAAAATGTATATAACATTTGAACATGACTTAAGAGTTCTCATATTCCTTCCATACTCATTATATAGTGTGGTACTCATAGCAAAAAGTTTCAAAGATACCTTCACTTAGAATGGTAAGTAAAATGTATAAATATGTTTTGTACATAGCTATCATAATGGTTCTAATATTTTTAATTTAAAATGAGCTGATTTGTATAAATATTTCAGGGTGATTTTGTGGGAAATGAATTCAAAATGTTCCTATTTGTGCAAAATAGTTAATATAGATTCCAGTTTATATGCATCAATAAGTTTACAATCATATTTCTCTGAGATTCTTTACATATTTTGTAGTTTTATTAAATAGTCATTGAGAACCTCGTAAATCATCATCAAGATCTATACATAAAATCTAGAATGCAGAAGAAAAGGAATCTTTTTCATAAGTATGGGAATTTCCCCCTTCCCTTTTTGTCTACTTTAACTTTTGGATTTGTTTTTAAAAATTTTTTACCTAGAAATTCTTATTTAATACTATTTCCTGTTTGGGTTTCTGCACATCAAGAATGTCACAGAGAAATAAGCATATGTTAACTGGAGTTTGACTCAAGATAAATTTGGGCTTGTGTTTCCTTTTTAACTGGAAGGGGAAAAAATGGGCCTTAGTGTGGTTAGAGAAGAAAGGTTTTCTGTAACCTTCCCTCTTCAGATCCTGTTTAGGCTTATTCTATATTCTACATTCTTTCACAAAGGAAATTACTAGAGAAGAGAGTTAATTCTTTGTGGTGGAAAAGAAAAAGAATGATACAATATGTTGTGAAAATATACTGTCTATTTAAATGTTTAGAAAAATGTTAAATAACTGGAGGAAACATGATTTCAAATACTAATTTGATGGAATTAAACTAGCAGATGTTTAAAATCCCTTATGAAAATTATCATTAAAATGATTTGAGAAACAATAATGAAACAGTGAATGACTGATCGATACATGTGTATTAAAGCCATTTTTATTATGTGTTTCTCTGTTCGTTGCTTTGCATTCACACACCTATATAGCGACCTCCCGATGGTGGTAGAGGCTTCAGTTGAACAATCTGGATCCCATTCCCTGACCAAAGTAGAGAATGAAACCACGGTTTCATTTCATAGTAGGGATTTTGAAGGATGATAAACATTCAGTTATCAGGAGAAAGGAAGGGGTTTGGCTTTGATTTGATTTTTGTTCAAAGTAATAGCCCAATGAGAAGGACAAGGAAGGGACATTATGGAAATACGTGGAGCTGACTTTTCTGAAATTTATCTGACTATAAATTACATTAAATATTATAAAATCATTTTTACAGAATCTGGCTCATGCAAAGGAAGTTGTAGGAAAAATAAATGGGGATGACAGGGAGTGTTAGTGGATTTTTTGCTGTTTAGAAAAAGAAACAACCTATTAAGTGGTGACGATTTTAAGGCAGATGCCTTAGACTTGCTAAATTCCCCTTACCCCCGACCCACCACGTGGCCAAGAGCATTCACCACCAGATCCCAGGGAGCTCTCACATCCTCTAACCCAGCCTGCAGGATTTTCCTGTCTCTCCCAGAAAGTCCTGTCTCTGTCGGCATCCCAGCTTCGTTAACCAAACTGTCAAGAGCTGAGAAGAATTTGTAATTTTACTCTACTTGGAAACTAGCAAGTTAGCCTCCCACTGTTCCATGGCTACTGGCAGGAGATATGAAACTCCTGGGTCAGAGATTAAAGTCTTTATTACTCATGACGTAGCAAACATCATGATCTTCATATTTGCACTGGTTCCCTTTGCCTCTTTACTCCTATGCTGAGTGTCCAGGTTGATGCTGTGCACACGGTGGGTTTGCAGTCTCAAGCTTAGGAAACTTGAGCCTTTTGTAATGGGCTGCAAGTAAGTGTGCCTGATTCTTGAGCCAGAGGAAATTATTTTTATTATATTGGACAGGAAACAAAGCTGCCCTCTACTCTGGAGGGAGACACTCTCTGTTTTGCAACAGAGGCCTCAGTGATCTGCTTACAAGACAAGCAGGAATGAGAGAGCCACACGGAATTGCCTGCCAACAATAAATTCATTATCTTGATTGTGACAGTGGTTTCATGGGTGAATACATATGTCAAAACTCACCAAATTACTTACTTTATGCATGGCTTATTGTATGTCAGTTTCACCTTAATACAGCAGGAGGGAAAAAGGCTTGCTACTTAAATATGTTGTGGAGATCAGTAGCCTCACTGTCACCAGAGTGCTTTTCAGAAAAGCAGAACTTTAGCCTTCATTCCGGATTTACTCAATCAGGATCTGTATTTGAATAAGATCCCCAGTATTTATAGAGTTTTTTTAAATTAAAGAGTAGTTGATTTCCAGCATTTAGTTTTTTAACTTTTTATTTTGAAATAATTTTAGACTTACAGAAAAGTTGTAAAAGTAGTACACCGAGTTCCCCATTTCCCCATCTTCTCCTAATTAACATCTTACGTAATTACTTAAACTGAGAAATTCACATTGAAACAGTAGTATAAGCGAATCCACAGACCTTACTTGAATTTTGATAGTTTTCCAACTGTTGTCCTTTTTTGGTCCAGGATTCCATCCAGGATCCGACATTGCATTTAATTTTCATGTCTTCTTAGTCTCTTCCAATCTATGACAGTTCCCTAGTCTTCTCTCATGACCTTCACATTTTTTAAGAACCCTGGCAGTTATTTTATAGAATGTTCTTCGGTTTGGACTGGTCTGATATTTTCTTGTGATTAGGTTAAGGTTCTGAATTTTTCTTGGAATACTGCAGAAGTGATGTCATGGCCTTCTCTGTCAGGAGCTGTTGCCTGTCCTCCATTGATTATTTAATTATTGACCATTTGGTCCCCTCTGGCCCCACTTCACATCCTCTTAGCCCACCTTTTTATTCCAGTTGTTGCAGCAGTCAGCTGCCCAGGTGAAACCTGACAGCACCTTACTTTACCAAATCTCTTGTTTTCTGAGCCGGAATTTCTCAGCCTTCCTGCTGTGAATACTCATTTGAACCCATTCTGTTATCTTCCAGCATGGTCAAACCTGGATGCTAGAGAGCTGGCACTGAATGAGTAATGTTTAAGCAATGGGAAAGGGATCCAGTGTATGAATAACGCTCCTCTTTTGTTCCTTATGTGGACAATTCTGAGGTGTGTTCTTCATAGCTCCTTGGAGACTACCCTGCACCATCCAGCCTCGGGGGCCTCCAGCAGTCATCATCTCAGTAACATATCCTTGGCTTCGCCTTTCCTCCTTTGTGTCTCATGCTTCCTAGCCCCTACTCCCCTTCCTTGGAATCGTTTTCCAGAATAAGCCACCTGCACGTAAGAATTTTCTCAGAGTGGGAGCGAGGAAGGAGAAGAAGCCAAGATCTGTGTGTTACCAGTTGTTAAACATTTTGACTCTTCACCTGTGGCACATAGCTGACTCTATGGAAACTTTCATGTGTATGGCAGAGTAGAAAAAAAGATAGAAAACCCGAATGCCTACCAATAGTAAAGGACTATGTAAATTTTGTTATTTTTCACATCAGTGCAAATCAGTGAACTGCGGCTGTTAAGACAGAGGTCTTAAAATTTTGAGCAAAAAAAAATGCATATAAATAATAAAGTTTGACCCCAAAGGTATGTAGTTCAAAAAGATGCAAAACCAAGAAATAGAGTGGAGTTTCATACATATGTGTCAAAAGTTATGAAGGAAACCACGGAAATTATAATTTAGAATAGGGTTGTTTTGGGGAGGGAAAGGCAGAGGGCCAAGTTAGGGAGGCACACGTAGGGGCTCCAGCAGTGTTAATTTCCAGTTTCTTAGCCTGGTATGTGAGAGTTTATCATTATTTTTATACCTCTCATAGACTATATTTTTAGAATGAACAAAATATATGTCATACAAAGAAATTTGGGTTTGATAAAAAGTTTACTTTTAGTTTTATTCATTTTTTGAAAAATATTTTTTATTGAAGTATAATCAGTTTACAATATTGTGTCAATTTCTTGTGTACAGCACAATGCATCAGTCATATAGGAACATACATATATTCATTTTCATATTCTTTTTCACCATAAGTTACAATAAGATACTGAATATGGTTCCCTGTGCTATACAGTATAAACTTGTTGTTTATCTATTTTATATATGTTAGTATCTGCAAATCTCGAGCTCCCAATTTAGAGGTTACTTTTATTAATGGTGACTGTGAAATCTTTCTGCTGCCTGAACCAAGTCGTTCCAGAAATGAACTCTGGAGAAAGTTGTGTCCCTCACTGAGGAAATTCCAAGGCTTTGATTCCACTCTGCCCTATTCATATGATTAAATTGCACATAATAAAACTGTCTCTGGAAGACAGGCCTTGATTTAACACATTTTTTCTCATAACTGTTATTTCTTTTATCTCCCTGGATGGATTAGGTGTGAAAACAGGATGCTTTAAAGAAAAAAAAAAGTCGTATTTCCAACTCCCAAAAGTTGAGACAACTGCTGATCCCTGGGTTGCTAAGAAGGTGTCTCTGAGGACCTTGTGACTCAAAGTGTGGGGTCTGGGGAAGCAGCACCACACCAGCTGGGAGTCTGTTGGAAACTGAGGCTCCACACCGCACCTCAGACCTGCTGATTCAGAGTCTGAGTTTTAATAAGATCTCCAAGTGATTCCTGTGCACATTCAAGTTTGAGAGGCACTGGTCCAGGAGTCCAGTAGCTCCACCTACAGAAAGCAGCACCCAGCACCAGGAGACGGCAGCACAGGGAAATTCCTCAGGTTTAACTGTACAGATCTGTCTCTTTCATGGCTGTCCCTTTGTTGGCCCACATGTTTACAAGTAGGGTATTTATTTATGCCTCTCTCCTCTTTCCAACGGTGCTGCACTGTGCCATTCTCATTCATTCAACAAAAACTTACTGAGCGTAAGCACCGAGGATATTAAAGTGAATAGGATGACATAGCTCTGAATCTCAAGGAGCTTACAGTCTAACAGGCTACAGACGCTAAAAGAAAATTACAAGTTTGATGAATGTTAGAAAGACAAACAGAATTTTATGAGAAAATAGCTGGAGACGGGGAGTCAGACGAAGATTTTCTGGATCAAGTTTTTTTTCAGCTTAGATGAGAAGGCAAACGTAGATGAGGTGTGGATGAACTGGGGGATTGTTCTAAGCCCAAGGACTACCCATGAATGAAGCCCTTTGGACATTCATGTCTGTATTTCCAGTGCCTCGCCCTGTTGTTCACATACAGTAAGTGCTTAATAAGTGCTGAATCAATAAGTGTTCTGTCATGTTTCAGACATCTACTCTCTTGCACTGGATATAGTGGAAGCGTTCTTTTCCTTTTCAAAGGAAATAAGATCCCTTAATGGGGGAAATGAGAAGGAAGGGAGAAAGCTGACTGTTAGGCAAATTTGCTAAATTGGAACTGTGAGTGGGAATGAAAAATTGATTTACATGAATTTTCCTCCCTGAAGCAACTTGACAATTTATTCCGTTCTGGAGAATTTTCAGTTTTTGGCTTCAAAACCAAGCTGTTTCTTATTCTGAATTTCTTGGCCTGCTGTGAAACCAGCATTTAGTGTCTTTTACAGCATTCCCTGATTAGGTCATGGAAATTCACAGCTAGATCAAACCAGTATATGGAAAAGTTTCACTGCCCATTTTACTTCACAGTGTTGGAAGGTGCTGTGAAATACTGACTTTTAAAACTTTTTTTAAAACCAATGTTATCAAATCATCATAATTGCCATCATTTATTGAACAGTTACTTTTTGCATCACATAGCAAAATCCTCATCTTAACTCTACAAGTGAGTAAATGGAGCC